TTATTTATTGTTATTGTCATCCTGTAAAGCGCTTTGAGAAGCCACCTTTAAAGGTGCTATATAAAATAAAGTTTATTATTATTATTATTAAGTCTTTTTGGACAGGCTTTGCACACCTGTTTGGTGCAATTTTTGCCCACTGATTTTCGATTCAGATTTGCTCAAGCTCTCTCTAGTTGTATAGAGAGCTGGATTTCAGCATTAATTACTCATACAAATGTCTGATCTTCAACTAAGTCACAATAACAGAAACATAATCTACAGTACATCTTCTTGACAATATTGAACACATCATTTAAACATTCACAGCTTAGGTTGGAAAAGGTATGTGAACCCTTGTATTTAGTAACTGGTAGAACCTCCTTTAGCAGCAATAACCTCAAACTAAAACGTTTAGGTCTTAAACATGTTTTCTCTAAGATGTGCAAAGTACACTGATACTGTACATCTAATTTCCCATCACTCTTTACAGACTCCCTAGTCCCTGCTTATGAGAAGCAGAACTATAGCATAATTCTGCCACCACCATGCTTGAGAATAGGATGGTGCTGACTGAGTGAAGCTCTATGTTGTTTTTGTACCTTATATTTTGCCTCTAAATTTGTTTTAGTTTCAGATTTGATATAGTTTTTTTTAGGTTTCATAATTGCTTCCTTTGTGGAATGACCTGGATATTAGTGACCCATGGACACTGTATCCGATCTCAGCCCCTGAACTCTGTTACTCTTTCAGTTGCAATTGGACTCAAGGTGGCACCCCTAACCAGTTACTTCTTTGCTGGCCACTCAGTATGGAGGACAGCCTGTCTAGGACGTACTGTATGTAGGTCAATTGCAATTTTTAACATCACCATGCTCAAAGAGATACTGTCTTAAGGACCTTTAAAATCTATTAGAACCCTTCTCCTGATGAGTGCCTTATTCATCTCTATCCCTGTATAGCTTCAATAGTTCTTGATATTCACTACCTGACTGAAGGACCTGATTGACTGACTGACTGACTGACTGAAGATAGCTGTATATATTCTGAAATCCTGTACTGTAAAGCAGTATTATCAGCTAATTGTGTGGTTCATTATATAATTACCTGTAAATGCAAAAAAATTCCTTTAGGTTTCCCACAGCAAAGGATTTGAATATTTAAGCAATCATGGCTTTCCATTTTTCTTTCAGATTATCTGTTCAGCTTGGTGCTGTGGTGATTAGCATTGCTGAGGCCCTGGGTTCAATTCTGGACCTGGGCTGCTGTCTGTGTGGAATCTGTATGTCCTTCCCACGTTCCTGTGGGTTTCCTCCAGGTGCCCCGGTTTCCTCCCACATTCCAAAATCTGGTAAGTTAACTGGCTTCCAGAAAAATTGGACCTGGGTGTGAGTGTGTGTGCGTGTGTATACAATATGTTTGTGTCTGTCCTGTCATAGACTGGTGTCCCATCCAGGGTGCACTCTGCCTTGTGCCCACTGCTTGCATTTTGGCCGGGAGGTCTAATTAGCCACACCGTTTTCTCCTTTCTGTGGAAGAGAAAACTGCATAAACCAATGAATACTTCTTATTCACTGATGTTCAAATGGCCCACGCCATCTCAGACTTTGCTGGATTGTAGAAGGTATGCGAGTTTTAGGCTAGTGTGGATCTCACACCGGCCTCATAAAACAGACTGCAAACAATACTCGAAGAACCTCTAACCCCACTTAAAAACTGAAATGAATTTTCCAGTCGAGTAGCACTCAACAACGTCTCAATGCCTTAATTTGAATACAATGACTACTAAATAGATCATGAATGTTTTTCAATTCTACCAAGCTCAGAAACTGCTAGAGAGGTCAATACTAGCCTATGAAGTGCATCTCAGAATATTGCTGGATATTCAGTAAATCCTTACACAAGAACAGACAATAAACCCTTGAATAATATATGCCATGTATTTACACGCATAAGCATTATGAAAGCATTATTGTGGCACATAGCGCAAATTAATGAACATTTTTAGGAGAATGGGGAGCAACGAAGTGAGACAATATTAATAGTTCACAACTATGTTGTTAACAACTTTTTTAGGATTATAATGTAAAATGGCACAATAGTTCAACAAATGGCATGATTTGAAGTTCAGCAACAGGTGAGCAGAATGTATTTACAAATTGAAATTGTTAGTTTGTGAATGCTAGATTAGATCCATGCATTATTTATAAAGGAGATACTTTATCTACAGCATTTCTTGTTTCCTCCCATTATGAGTGCTGGTTAGTACCCAAACTAAATTTAAATAAGATGTTCTGTGAGTAAGTTAATTGCATAAAAAATAAAAATGTCAAAATTCCAATCTTTAATCAGATGAACAAAAATAATAAATGAGACAAACAAGTATTCATTAATTTGTTATTAATGCAGAAACAATCTATAATTTCAAAGAAATTTCTGAAACATGGGTAAACTTTACATTTTCAAGTTTTTCTACCGTGTTTAATCGATTTAGTCTCAGATGAAAGCTTCAGTTACATAGCCTATGTGTAGATAAGAGAAGATAGGAAGTTCAGAATAATGAACTCAGCCACAGCTACAGTCGTATTTCCACAAATACCACTCACATAAAATTATTTGCTTTACTTCAGCACGGTACTGTGAATTTTATATTACGAAAATGCAACGCAATATGCCAGAAAATGTAAGAGCATCAAATGCATAAGAAAAGAAATGGATGTTTACATATTTAAAAGCCACTCAAGACTGTGTGGGATAATGAGCTAATCTTTGCACAAGGTTTACAACTTTGAAATGTTCTTAACACAAATTGGTTATTTCTATGTTGAATGACAGATTCCTAAGGCTAATTGTAACATTTTCTTTTTGCTAACATGCCTTATTTTAACACAAGAACAAACAAGAACAGTCTAAGTCAGATCCTTGGTAAAAATTACATATAACATATGGCTAGGGGTTTCTGCTGACATGATCCCTTGCCTGTTGTTCAATAAGCATATCCAATTCTCACTCTTAAATACAAGGACAGACTAGCAATGTTTTAAAAGCTGTGATCAACAGTTTATTATGTGCTATGTTTTGTATTTCTGTAGTCTAAATTATGAACATTTCAAAGATCTCTTGACACATTAAAAAAACTAAGTTAGGTCTATTTGAAACTTCAACATTTATGAAGATTAATTCAATGTCACAAAATGTTTGGCATCATAAGCATAACAATAAAATAATTCTATGATGAATGTATTCAGTAAATTCTATTAGGTAATAAAATGCTGAAACAATTGCTGATAGTGTGATATAAGGTATATAAGAGTATTTAGAAAGAATGGCAATATAACTTTTCATGCTTTTCTCAATATACTATAACACATGCTATGAAAACATTGTATTCCCCACACAGCCGAGATGCGTGTTGCAATCCTGTCCTTTAAACTGTATTACGGTAAAATAAGAATGACTAGTTGACAGAATATAATTAATATTCAATTAACTACATTAGAATAAAAAGCAAATGTAAACTAATGGCAAATGGTGTTATTTTGCTTATTTTACTTAATAAAGGTAATTACAATTACATAAAGTATATTAGCTTTTTCAGATGTTAATTTTAATGTTGAATTTGACTGGATTTATGAGAAAAAATCAATACCAATTTGTCCGCAACTGTGACAAAGATTTTTCCTGTTCCCAGAGCAGTATTTGTTGAGTGTTGCTTCACAGGTTGTGGATGAAATTTTCTGAGGTAGACGAGTATTTCGTTGTAATGAAAACCCCTTCAGCTGAAAGTCTTATTCCATCTTAAATCCAATTATGTGGTGTAAATAACATATTCTGAACCATTATGACTTAAACATTGATAATACTTTTATTATTCCAGAACATTACCTTTTGCTAATTCTATTCAGCTGGCTTAATCTAAACTCTCTGTATTCAGTCTCGCATTGCTATTGTTATTGGATGATATTACCGCTTTTGTTTAAGAACCTTTAGCTAAATTTTAGAAATGTAAATTGAACGCAGCACTTTCATGCCATCTCCTTTTTTTCCCATCATTATTCAATTAGTTCAACTAAGTGGTACTTTTAAACACTTTTTCACATAGGAGGAATGAAAAGTAAAAGATGAAAACACAGATGCAGGCAGACAATTTGGAATTTATATATTTTTTTACTCCCAGTATTAATTAGCCATATGTTCATCCACTTTGCTTGGAGCTATAACCTTTGTAGCAGCACAAAAGAAATGAAAACAATGCCTGCTTTCCTCTGAAGCAAACACTAAGTCCTGTTATTTTCTTAATGTGAGCTCCACACAGCTCGCTGAAGAAGTGCCAGCATGTCACAGACACAACTGATGCGATGGCAAACCAGGGATATTCAGGCTGATTCAAGCAGATCTGAACATAGGATATTCTAGTCATAGTACTCGATCTCTGCTCCAAATGAGTGCCTTTACTTCAGCCCTATGTATTGGGCATTTGCAATGGTCAATATTAAATTATATACTCCTAACCATAACGGATGTGTTTCAAGCAGATATTATAGCAGCAAGGATCTTCTTGTACATACTGTATGGCCAAAAGACAATCTTCCTCATTCTGGACAGCAAATATTAAAATCCATCTGAGAACATGTGGAGTTACCTGGACATTTTACCTGTCATCATTCTGCATGAACAATTAATTGTTGCAACAGATGCTCGGATTGACTAAATAAGCTTTACTCCATGTACGTTAGTTTTAGACAAATTACACATAGTGTACAGAAAAAGTCTAAGAAATACCATAAAGTAGTGTATGCCTTCATAGAATAAACCCATTACAGTGAGCTGCAGCAGAGGGCTAAAGGGAAGAAAGATGTTCTTCCGTGATCTGGTGAAACAAGAAGCAAAACCAAGTGCTTTTAAATAGGTGTTCATGATGTGTTATACAGCTTAACACTTACTTTGTGTGGAAACTAGCCATATTTGGCTGTGTTTTGATTCTGTTTTAAAGAAAATGAAGGAAGCAAAACTTGACACACCTTGTGACTTTACAGCTGGAATCAATCAAATCATTCTCCATATCCAGGAAGTGGGAAGGATTCCGGTACTCCAGTGGAGAGGTCAGTCTTTTTAAGCGGAGCAGTCCGACACAGAACTTGGCTCCCATCTCTTCCAGTTCCTTTGTCCCAATCTGAAGACCCTGCAGAGTAAACAAACAAAAGCATCTTAATCCCCCCCAAAATCTGAAATGATGAAGGGGTCAGAAGTTGCTATTTTCTGTTATAGCACCAGACTCACAGTACAGTACATTGAAGTCATTACTTCTAATCATCTTTTGTACTTTTGCACTGTAGTTTCTTTTTAAACAAGATAAAGTGTTTTTCTTCCAGATCTTTAAGTGAATTGAGACAAACTGTGGACAGTGTACTTTAAAATAATAAAATAAGTGATACTGCATAATTAACCAAGGGGTCATAAGACATATCTCTCTTCTATTTTGTTTTTCAAATGGGATTTTCTCCTAATTATTTTAATCATTTTAAGGTAAATAAATAAAGATAGCAAAAATCAAGATTAAGAGCTATACTGTAAAACAATAAATAAATCAGTAATGGTTCAGCAAAAATGTCAATCCTACTTGCTAGTTTAGATGGTAAAGACTGAGATTCAAGGGGTTATTGTACATCTGTGCAAACATTCTTCAAACTACCTATGCTAGTGGGAAGTTGGACAGCATGTGGCTATTTCCAAAAGAAAGCGCTGGAAAGAACACATAGTTTTCCATTATAGAAGCTAATGTACTGTACAACAGCACTGTGCCAAAAAAACTATTTATTTTGGCAAATTATAGATCTGAGAGACATACTAGCAGGCATTATTAATGGATATCATAGAAAAATAACTTAACACCTCACAGGGACACATGTGCCAGTATTTACAGATTTAGTTGTTTTTTATTGCAAAACTTCAACTAGAGGCTGAATATTTATCATTTTCCAGATTTGGCTAAACAGCAAAGTTTTGTCACATTCAAAATGTTTCTGTACAACAATGTTTAGGCATTATATTTATCTGATACTTCTTAAACGTCGTTAGGATGGAAATGTCACAGTGGCTTAGGTGACATCTGTGCAAACATACTTTGTGCCATCTCTGGCTGCAAGGTTTCTGCCAGTAAGTAACTATCCATCCATCCATTTTCTAACTGCCTCATCCAAATCAGGGTCATGGGGGAGCCTGAGACTATCCCAGCAAGCAATGGATACATCCTGCATGAGACTCCAGTCCATCAAATTTCAACAACAACTGCTAAGCGAATCAAGTTTAGCTCTTTTATGTCAGTCATGTCACACTTTCTGGACAACAACGTCTTTACTGATATGTTGAATCTATTGGGAAACCTGGGGCTTTTGAAATGAGATTCAGCTTTCCCGAAGAAACATGTGGCACCACCATTTTAGTCATTTTTGTGGTTAAAAAAAAAAAAAGATTGTGAAAAATTGGCAGAAACCAAAATTTACACATTTCTGCAACACCTTTTTATTTAAATGGTGATAGGATGGAACTATCAGAGAAAAGCAGTGCGTGAAGAATGCCAGAGAACAGATGAGGAATCTTACAGCCATACATATACAGTATTTCATTCCAGCATGTTATCCTTAGAAAAATAAAGTTTTTACTTTTATTAAAGCAAAAGCAAATAACAGAAACTGTTTTACATACAGAACCTGCCAACTGAATCTACTTTACCATTCATGAAAACCAAAAGTAATCACAGACACAAATTAAGCTACTTCAAACTAACTCATACTCCAACAATTTCCCATTGTCAGCTGTCTATATTGAGGCTGCTCATAAGGGTCTAGGTCTGACTGGCTGTGTACATCTGTCTCAGTATTCCCTTTCACGGCCAGGAGCACGGCACCTACACTCAACCCCCAGGGAATCTCCCGCTTTCATAAGGCCATCATGTGCTGTTTATTTGCAGAGGTAAAGATTATTTTTTTTAGTGTCTTTCTTAAATGTATTCTTAAAATGTAAAGTTATTATTGATTTTATTTTAACATTGCACAAAAGCTTTAAATCAGACAGCTGAAGCAATACCTTTTTCTGCCCAATTCAATTTCCATTTTCAGGGAAATTTCACAACTTTTTAAACAAAACTGCTGATTGATGGGTGATTTTTCAGTCATGAGGATGAACGTGTAAGAACACCTGGTTGAGGTTAATCAGAATACAGCATCAAAGGTGTTGATTAACATTCATTTATAATTATCACCCATACTGTATATCAGTTCAATGTGCTATCTTGCATTCAAACACAAAATCTACAGCACAATATCAAGAGTGCATCTGTCCAAAAGGTGATAAACTAAGAACCTAAACAAATCTTATAAGACTTTATACAGTACAGAACGTGATCTATATAAATACACTGTTTTACCAGAAAGAATGTCTGAATATCAATGCTAGTTCAGTTCAACCTTAGATTCAGGCATGGCACTAATGACATGTTTTTAAAATAAACTGTCAAAACTATTGTGTCACAGATATACATTGTTGCACAGCTTAATAGTTTAAAAGCATTTGTAATTCTGAAAAGGGATGTACTTGTACCACTCAGACAAATTAAGGAAACCAAAACTAGATATTTGTATGGTATTCACAAAAAAATGGAGAAATTTTAAAGGGAGAAATTTAAAAGTACAGTAAGCAATATATAAGATCTGAAAGACAAATTATTTGTTTTCAATCAAATGGGTGGTGTTAAGCTTTAAGAAGTAATTTACAAGGTTGAAGTTCAGAACTAAATCTCAATTCAAGTGCCTAAATCCACAGGGTCCTATAAGAAAATAGTAGAATTTGATGTTCAATAACATTTAGCTATTAATAAGTGAACAATCAAGATGAGATGTTCTAATAATTGGAAGCTATAGAGCATTTGGGACAGTTAATGGGGAATAGTAGTTCTTTACAAAGATAATTACAAAGATTTGGAAACTTTTCATGAAAATTTGGAAACTCATCCGAAAAGTTAGGAAACCGAGTCTGTGGGATTCCTTAAGTAATTTAATGGATTGGTGGTCCTACTTCTTAGCTTGGACCAAATGACATTCTGTTGCTTATAATATTGCTTACATCTTTAATAAATGGTGTCAAAAAATGCTTCCAACATTTTAGACTGTAAACTGTGGAGACGTATCAAGTATGGCACCCAAGTGTATTTAAGTAGTTTTGCAATCTAAATTTCCACTTGCTTTGAATGGGAAAAAATAAAATAAAGACAGCTGAATTAATTTGCTGTGAAGAGGAAAGTAACAAAGATTATAAATGAGAGGACACCATATAGCTTTCATTGCTCATTCAATGGCAAATTGCTTATTGAGCCTCCCTTTCCCGATAAGATTCTGCAGAATCTGCATTCCATAGGGCAGCTTGGTAATTTATTACACATAGTTCTGTGTAAACAAGTTCCTCCAATTCACTCATCTTAAATCTTACTTGTAACCCTTAACGTCCGAGATTGGTAATGACTTATTGGGCCCTTATTCAGTAAAGTAATCAATTGTTTAATTTTTTTACCTTATATTTCCCTTGGTCACAGCCACAGAGAGTGCTTTCCATAGTGTAGCTCTTCTGTACCCCTATTTCACGCCACACCACCACTCGAGCTGTAGACTCTTTGGACTTTTCAACCACAAAACTGCAGCTACTCATACAGAATGCAGGGGCTATTTGGCTTAAGATCTTTGGCAAAGTCTGAAAAAAAAAAACAATAGAAATCAATGTTATGGTTCAAAGCATATTTTAACTAGAAAATGTATAATATACAGTACATTTTAAAGGTCCTGTTCCTACAAAGAAAAAGGAAATTTGACAATACAATGAGTCAGTCTTATCTGCTGTAGACAACAGCACCATCTTGAGGAAACATTTCCACCCTACACAAAACAATCAGGTACTCCACTACCTGCTGAATAAATATTACATTGTTACAATTAAAGAGATTAATTAGATAACCCATTCTTTTGGTACCAAAGCAGTAACCTATACTGAAGAGTCATATAGTCTGAGGATAATTAAATACCCTACAGGGGGCTTTATCTTGTTGATACAACAGGGTTCTTTTCCTGCTGTTTATAGAATAGCGTACAGCTCCGTTTTATTTAATAGAACTTAAGAAAACAAACGTAAATTAAATTAGTAATAAAAATGTTACAACAATGAAGTGAAACACAAGAAACATAATTAAAAAAGAGACATCTGAATGGCTGGCTTTTCGCCAAAGTACACTTAAATATACATTGCAGAAAAAAAAGGTTTATGAACTTCCCATTTAATTATAGGAATTACAATTTCATGATAAGCTTGATTAATCAAAACTGGTCTTTCCTTAAGTAATCAAAACAGTTTGTATTGACCAAGTCAATCTTTTTGGGAGACACAACAGTGTAAGAGATTGAAAAAATATTAAAGAATCATTGTATGTTATATACTGTAATAAGTGAGGACTGCTGGGAACAAACCACTGTTCTCTAAAAGAACATTGCTGCACCAAACAGCACCTGAACAATCCACAAAAGTACTACTCTCTAGACAGGTAAGTCACAGAATGAACTTTTTGGCCACAATGATAAATGTTTTGTATGACAGTAAATTGCTATTTACTGTCTTGCAACAGAAGAACCTTATCCCGACAGACAAGTATAAAGGTGTGGGGCTTATTTGTTGACTGAATTATATTCTTTAACATGATCATGAATTTGGTGTTTTATCAGCAAATTCTGGAGAAGAATTTCAGACCAGCCATTCCTTAGCTGAAGGTGAGACAAAAATGGGCCATGAAGCATCCTAAACAAACAAGCAGATCTACAGAATACCTGAAGATTACATTTCACATTTTGGATTGGCCGAATCGAAGTGATCTGAGAGTCTAATAAACAGCTATTGGAAACATCTAGTTTAATTCACTACTGCTTTAGAAGGTGTCACCAGTTACTCAATCTAAGGGCTCTCACATTTGAGAATATTTAATGCTGAATTACTACATTACTTTCAATAACCATTCTTATCCAATTCAGGGACACACGATCCCTGATTTTTGTCTCAAGAGGCATTGGGCGCAAGGCAGGATACCCCCAGGATGGGACGCAAGTCTGTCGCAGAGCAAATACACTCACACCATGGCCAATTTTACAGAACCCAATCAACCTGCCAGCATCTTCGGACTGTGGGAGAAAACAGGAGCACCTTGAGGAAACCCTGTGAGCACTTAGAGAACATACAAACTCCAGGAAGACAGCACCCCAGGAATTAAACTCCCCAGTGCAGCAAGGGAGCACCGCCAACCACTGTGCCACCCAGTGTTGAATTATTTCATAACTCATCCAATTATATCTAATGCCATTGTTTTTGCACTCTTAAACGGGTTAACTTCAACTTTTACTTAGGTTTTTGTGAAGATTTAATTACTATTTAGGTCTACAGTATATAAGAATGTGGACCCACATAGGAGGTTCAAAAACATTTATGCTTAAGACAAAATATTTTAAAACTTACTCGGACAAAAAGAGGCACACAAATAAGAAGTAAATAAGAAGAATAAGGGTTTTTCTACTGCCAATTGAGAAATATCTTAACCAGAATTCTTGTCTTTTTTTTAGCAAGTTGTTTGATCTGATGTCAGATATACAAAGATGATAGAACTCATGTAAGTATTAGGATTGAGATGCTCAAGGCAATTTTGTTAGTAAATATTGTTTAACATGTAGAGTGCACTGACAATATTTATCCTAGGTCATAATTTTCATTTTAGGAATTAAAAAAACTGACATTGAAATATTTTTGTTGCAGTTATTTTTTAATGAGTTTGTACTCTTAGGGTATTTTGTAAAGGTATAGTGATAATATTAAATATTCAGCAATGGGACAAACAGTAGCCTAAAACTTTAGCCTCCTTACCCTGTACCCAAGGTCTTCCTGCAGCTCACAAGATGATGCACTCACATTAGTCTGCCATACTGTTTCCTTGATACTACAGCCATACATAAAGACATTCTTTTTGCGAGAGTGTCCATGATAATCACAATACACCTGAAAGTTAGAAAGAAAGGGTTTCACTGGCATTTACTGTATCACATAACAAAACCCGTATAAAAATATTACTTTTCTTAATCATTGCACTTGTAGATCAGGGAATTCTTTGGAGGGATAAGCCAGGGTTACAATAATGTTTTCTTTTAGATTATTCATTCTAATTTAGGTTTTCTCAAAATTTTTTGTAATTACCATTGTAAATAAATAAGCCTTCATCTAAGCAGATTGATCTGATTACTGTTGTTTACTACTGAAGGATTTAGTCAAAACTCTCATTAGTATAGTTTTATAATGCATTAAGACATTCAAAAGTAATGCAAAATAAACACAGATATACTGTAGTGCATATGTTATATTATAACAAAGGATATGCGATGAATGCCTGTAAAAACAACGCAATCTGTATAATTATCTGCAATACAATATCTGCAGCCAAAATGTGCACTGCCATTTGGGTTATCCTGGATCACAGCTAGTTAGTGACATGACTTGTATCATATGGGCCAGACACTATACGGTTACAAAGAGTGTATTGTTTGGCCCACTTAGGAGCACCCTAAAATACTAGGTTGTTCTTAAAAAGTGTTTTTTCTATAACGTTAACTGTAAGCGCTCTTTTTTCATTTCTGTACATCATTTGCACCATGATCTTTTAACCTCCATGGATCAACATTCACACACACACTTCGAAAACACAGCAGAACTGTTTCTAGTTAGAGCTTACAAAATGGACCACAATAATGTAACTCCTTCTTTCAACCAGGAATTTAATGCTTTCATTCTGTAGCTACAGCATTTTGAAAAATTTCCCAGGTCTTCCATATTTAAGAGAATCTTATTTGGTCAAATTCTCTGGATGAAATTCAAGTTTGTTTGTAACCATTTTTGTAAAGGTTACTTTCTTTGTAGCCTGAGTTTGTTGGATCTCTTCACTTGACAACAGAGTATTAGAGTAGAGGTTATTCAAGATTCCATGGTACTGTTCATAACAGTAGGAGTTAACCTGGATATCCTGGTTAAATCCCACTTTGGGCTTGCCCTGCCTGGGCCACCCAAAGGCCTTCCTTAATTCAACTGGTGAAGCAGCTTCTCACTTCTCCATCTGCTCTCCTGTGCAGTGAGACTGCTGATGCTATTCACCTTGGTGGATGCTGCACTTCAGTGGAAAATGATGTGGATCCTTCCTATATTTAAATAGATCTGGGATGAAAGTACTATACATATGCAAGAACTTCTTATTAAATATATGTAACTACTTTGGCAAAAGCTCTTTTTTTGTGAATGCTAAGGATGTAATGCTGAGAGACTAAGCGATATGAGATGGCCTAATTGATCAGGCCCGTTTGTTGTTCCACCTGTGTTTGGCGATTTCCCTGAAAGCTCCAGGGAATAAGCTGCTGCTCTCAGTCACCTGACTAGTTGCTATTAGACAATTGGTCAAGTGACAGTTTAAAAATCAGGAATTACAGGCTCCTGTCGATTTGCTGTCTGGGGAAAACTTTATATATTATACCATTACCCATAAGATTTATCACTGGCAATCCCATCACTCTGTTTATTCTGATCTTTACACTTTAGATGAATCACTGCATACTGAACAAATCTTTACATACAAATCTTTAATTGGGAAAATAAGTTCTTGTCTTCATAATTTATTGTAGTTCTCTGTGCCACATTACAACTTAAGACATAGATTGACTCTTCCAAGAGCTACTACTGACTTTGGGCACAAGTCATTTCAATTTGTTAATGTTCGTAACAACCTGCAGTGTAAGCTGAAAACATCCAGCTTTGTAAATGAGGACATTTTCATGTGTAGGATTAAATCTTCTCTCCCTAAACTAAACTAAAACTGACTTATCTGGTTAAATGAAGGATTAATTACCACTCTCTGGCCATAGCCAACAAGAAATGAGATCTAGTCTCTACAGAAACCTTTACCAGTTTTGTGGAGCTGAGGCCACAGAAGACATGCAGGCAACATGCTTTTGGGTATGAGAGCTCATTTTTTAATCTGAGTTTTACTTAAGTCTTTCAAAATAGTCATAAGTTGCATTACTTCACAATATTTTGTGCATCCTATGAGGAACAGGAAAATAATCTGAGTAAGCTTTTAATATCATTGCTACAGAAATAGTTATAGTCTTACCAGTGGGGTCCTCTGTAATGCAGCTAGATACTGCAGTAGGCTCTTCGTGTGATAAATTGTAGGGTGAAGATCAGGGCTTGGGGTTTGCCACTGACGATTGAGATCCTCACCACTAAGGGAACATCGGTGGCTTTCAGAAAGAAGAACAAGGAAAAAAGGTTTACTGTAATCAGTTGAAGAGAAACACATTTTTTAAATGGAAAACATTAATCTTGTTCCTTAACGTTATTATAAAAAAAACAGGAACTAACCCAATGTGAAAATCATTGTAGGCTCCAATTAAGAATACTTTTGCAATAAAACCATAATTTAAGTGAAGGATACACCTCACATATATTCTTTAATAGTTCACTGATAAGGAAATCAACATTAACAGGGTGGAAATGTTGTCAGAGAAAAATGAAAATTAAATCTTTTTTAATTGACTGTAATTTTTCAGAATGGGATTAACAAAGACATTAGACATTATACGATATACAAAGGAAATGTTACACATTAAAGCAGAAAATGATATATTAGTATTTGGTACTTCCTGCACAAGCACCATGTTATTATGTAACCCAATTAAGCGTTAAAGCAGCAAGTTCTTAAATTACAGCCTTGTCCTCTTTTTGCTATAGCTGTGAGAGTTTCTTATTCAAGGTATTTCCATGTGTTCACTATGGCAGTGTTTGCAAAGGCCTGGTGCTAGAAGACTATTTACATCCCATGTTTTCAATCCACTTAGTACATAATTGTTTAACAATTTCCACTATTTCATGACACATAATATACCCATACCCATACCTGTATATCCTAGTTTATTTTAAAATACAGGACTATCATTTGCATGCTGCAGAACAAATGCTGCATGCATTAGAAATGTGCTGGTTAGAAACACAACTATCACTCTAGTGCCTCTGCAGGAGTGAAGTTAGAAAGCATTGCTACTGTATATTGCAGACTGAAAGTCCATTATTGCATTATTTTAAAGATGTTATAGGAATATGTTTGTCAGTGGAGCCAGTGGTGCAAAGCCACTTTCACTTAATACGTGTGTATCAGAAACTGCCATCAAAAGCCCATGCTATTGTCTACTTGTGACTTATTAAAATTAGCTTCCATTACAACAAAAAAGTAAAATGTAAGCTGTGTTAAAAAAACACAGGTCTTGAAATATAACTTCTTATGAGAAAAGCATAACAATGTGAAATTTACAAGATACAAAAATTAACTTAATCTCTTTAACAAATTCTGCAGAAATTTATAATTCCAGAATCAGTTAAAAAATAAAAGGCCTTAAGATTTATAACTGGCAAAAAGCGTACACAATGCAATTCCAGTAAAACGGCTCTAGAGCTCTGAAGAAATCTTGGAAGTAATCCAGTGGATTTAATATTTTGCTACATTTTATGTTTGATGCTTTGTACTGCATAATCCGACTTCCAAAGATTTCAATGAAAACAACAAAGAAGTAATTTTCTGGATCTTCATGTTCCACAATTTACAGAAACTACACATGTGAAGCCACACCACAGAGACTCACTTTCCATTGATAACTCCATCTGGGTTCAACATGGGAATAATTTTGAAAATGTAGGATTCTCGCAGGCTTTGGGCCATTGGACTATTGTTCATTAAAAACTCCAGAGTTCCTTTCATTACCCAGCTTGCATTAGTTTCTCCAGGATGCACACGGGCAGTGAGAAAAATGTAGGGACGATTTCCTGGAAAGTAACACAAGCCATGTTAGCAAGGCCAACAACATAAACCATGGCACACATACAGCGTGCTGATCTCCAACCTCATGCGTGCACCAGTAATGTCAACCAAGAACATGCTTTACTCCTGTGGCAAGGGAGGTTAAAAGTATTAGGGCACCATACTGGACAGACGGTACCTGTACTGCCCTTTGCATTGTCCACTGGACGACTTTCCAGTTGAACAGAATTCTGTTGCCAAATTTAATAGGTCCAGCCACAGTTTTATCAGACCTCCTGTAAATCCACTGTTTTCCATTCTTAATTTAAAAAATCCAACAACAAAATTTTGTAAGTCTTCAAAACACAGGCACATACTGTACAAAAGCCTAGACTGTATATGAGAATCTTGGTTTGGCTACTCCATGGCTAGTGCAGTGCAACACCAGAGTACACTGAGCATCAGAAGCATGCCAAAAAACAGGCCTGGTTGCTGGTCAGATGGTAGTGTTGGACAAATGTAGTTGAAGCTACATTTTTAAGTCTCATTTCTGTGAATGTATAACCCCTAGCAAAGCACAGTAGTGTGGTTGCTAGCACTGTTGTTTTTAAGTGTATGCTCTCTTCATGGGTGTGTTTTTTTCCAGGTTCTCTAGTTTCCTCCAACAGTCTAGACAGTAGATTAGTCTCTGGACTAGTCCATGTTGGTAAAATGTCCCCTGTATGCTTGAGTGTGTGGTCTGGTTTCCTGTCAAGGCCATAACCTGCCTTGCTCTAGATGACTGCTGATTTAGGCTAGAGCTTATCATGACCTCCAAGCACAGTTCCTGCTCTGACTTCCTGATGAATTTTATACAGACTCTTTTAAGGTCTTGAATGGGAATCTACAAATCTACATTTTCTTTTTAATCTAGTCATAAAACATACTTGTTTAAACTGGAATGCTTGTAGGTTTCATGATGTCGGTATTGTTTATTGACAAATTGTTATCACATCACCTTCGATAAATGCTGATCCAATTTAGGGTCATGGTGGCCTAGAGCCTATCTCAGGAAGCACTGGGCACAAGGAGAGGTACACCCTGGAAGACTGTCGCAGGGCACAAAAAGACACAAACATGTATGCACTCGCACCAGGGCCAATTTTTTAGAAGCCAATTTACCTACCAGCATGTCTCTGGACTGTGGGAAGAAACCAGATCACCCGGAGGAAACCCACATGCATACAGGCGTTTCACACAATCTCCATACAGACAGCACCCCAGGAAATGAACCCAGGGCCACCATGCCTCCCATGACACATTATGTGCAACTCTTTGATTTCTCAAAGGGAAATTTCTGAATTTATTGTACAGTGACATTAGAATGTTTTATGAAAGACACTTCATAAAATTAATAGTATTATCATCATAAATTTGTAAAATTATCAAAACCCCATATGTGGTTTAAACATCACAGATCACAAAATGTATAGCCCTCTATTTGAGAACTAATACAAGAAAAAAATATAATGTTAAGAAATAGTAATCAAAACAACTATTAATATTACTTCTATTTTGCAGATCCTCTTCTGGCAGAGATTAGAGCAGCAAGATGCTTCCTGTAGTATGCTACAAGGCTCTCCTGATGCGCTATTTATGACCAATCCTCCAGCCAGAATTGTTCTAGATCATTAAGACACTGTCGATCCTATTTGGAAGGCACAACGGCTCCAACTAAAAAACAACCACTGCTCTAATTTATATCAACGGTCTAAATTTTCAGATGATACCAAAATAGGAGTCTACTGTAGAAGCAGGAAATTAAATAAGATGAATTTCATAAAATTTGGCAAACACCTGACTGAAGAATACAAGGAAACCTGATTCAAGTATCCAATATCCTAAGAGATGCTGGCAGTGGAGCTGTTCTGAATAACAGTGAAACCCACAAGTGGAAGGTACATGGAAATGCCTTTAAAACCAAGAATGGGAGGTGCTTCTTGACAAAACGGACTGTGGGATTATGGAGCAAGCTACCCAGAGGACCTTTAAGAAACAGCTGGATGATATCCTTTGATCAAAGGCTGAATGCCCTTCTCTCATCTGTAAACTTTCTTATGTATCCACCTCAGACTGCTCCAGTACGTGCCCTGCTGCATAAACAAGCCTCTCCTTTGGCATTGTAAATAAGAATTTGTTCTCAGCTGACTGACTGGTAAAATTAAAATCATGTTGCTTATTTTATGTTAACTCTCAGTGGTTCTGCTTCGAAATTAAAATTAATGTGAAGGCTATTGAAAAACCATTAAGCATGATCTTATAAATGAATCAGACCAATTAAAAAATTTTACTTACTGAACTGACAGATCTCTTCGTAGTGTTCTGACTCTGGCATTGCGGTGATAGTTAAGACAGGGCAGCTGTTCCCACCCAGTGTTTCACAGAGCACATCTTTGCGGAAGTATATCTGTGGAGTGCACATTGATTCCAGCTTCTGAAGGTGCATCTTCAAAGATAAGAAAATAATAGGTGTGCATTTTTGTATTGGAATTTAGGAACAAAACAATTAAACTACTACTAGATATGCCATAACAAATAGTTACAGTTACTATACATGCACGATTATGATAAATAATGGGGACCTGAGAACTTATGCTACCAATATCCTAATAAAATGTCTCGCTCTCAAAAGCTGCAGACAAGCACCAATGAAAACAAATAAATGCCTTATTTTCTGTCCATTAATTTCTTCAAAAACAGCCAACTCTATGACAGGGATATGGTGTAAGAGGTTTGCTAATAAAAAACAAACTGACTTGTTTTATCCATTACTTTCATATCAAAAGCTGAAATGATAATGATTTCTTTACCTGTAAAGTAGAATAAGTGTAGGGATAGTGATATGCAAAATAGCAAACGTCATCTTTGTGATGGAAGGTCACTGTGAAGGTCATGGTGTAGTATGATTTCCCTTTCTGACCCCCTGCTGCGATGGAACTTCGAGAGAAGTGGTTTCTTTGCAGTGGAAACAAAAGAAAGCTCCAAAATTACTAACACACAGAGTTTAATGTATACAATGAAAAATAAGCACATAACTGTACGGTACATTTTATATTTCTATTTGACCATAAAGATGATAGGAGTCACGAAAACATTGGAAAAGTGAAAATACTGTGAAAGGTTCAGCTTCAGAAATGAGCCTTTTTTGGCAATAATATATTGAGCAATGTCATTGATTTTGCTGGTACAGCACTTGAAGACTGTATTCATATTTTTAGTTTGCAAGGCTTGTGTTAGGATCTTGAACTCTGAGTCCTCTGAGTCTACTTTCCACAATCAATCTTAAGTGAAATTACACTGCTTTATCACTCATTGGTCAATTTAGACTTAACATTAGTTAAATGAGAGCATTAATCTCATTGTAATTGTTTTAATTTTAGAGTGTCTGCAGAACTTCAGTCTGTGTTTTCCTATCTGACTGTCACTTTATATTAGTGACAGAATAGTATATACAAAACAGATGAATATTTGAGTAGTTTTACAGTAACTTAGAAACAAAGATCTCTTCAAATACAAGATGTTTACCTCAGAGAAACAAATATTCAATTACATGTAATTTTATTGTGGTTATAATTATAAAACTTCTCATTTATCTTAACCACTTTTAAACAAAGAGTTATACACGGAACACAGAGCAAATGTGTACTGTTCTCTTCATACAATTCCACTGTACAACACACAGCAGAGAAGATTAATTACATTTAAGAAACTTACAAGCTTCTCAAATTCAAACAAAGTGAAATTTACTGTATCTAAAGGTGTAGAACAAGCTTTTGCTAACTGCCTGTTACCAAGCTACTAAAAAAGCTACTTCAATTAAGCCTGAAACCTAAGATTCACACCTTCAAGAAGACCAATCATATTTGACTGACAGGCTACTGGCTTTTCAAGAGGAAATTGACAGAATTAGAAATTGACATAAATAATATCTAGTCTCAATGAATGATAAAAGTTACATCACCCATTATGTTAGTAATAAGCCATCCTCCTTTCAAAAGTATTTTTTTTACTACAATAATAAAATTATAACTACACTCATAGGGTCTGCCATTTTACAATGACCGCATACAGATAAAGTACAACTTCCAACTTTCCAACAACTCTTGTATGGTTTTTAATGGCCACAGAGAGTCAGGGTCTCGTTTTCATAGGTTATCTGAACAATGGCGCCTTTTTTACAGTATAATGTCCTTTCAAGTTATTATGTACTTATTGGCACTGGCTTGAATACAAGCAATTTCAAAATCATGGGAAACTCACAAAATACTGTATGGCATCCTCTGGCCTGTATAAATGTTACGTACATTTCACTTTGGATTATTCAACAATTTAAAAATGAAGAACTGGAATCCTAATTAGCACTCATTACACAAAGACTGAATAGCACTTAATCTAAAATTTCTGTGCTCTAACTAGATATTACTAGATAAAACAACAATCAATAAAACAGTACAGCTTATTTTCCTGGTAGAAGACAGTCTCCCTTTAGCTTGAGGATCCCAAAAAATGAAAAACTGGTGAATATTCCTATTGAAAGTTTAAATTTGTATAGCACTTTGTGTATATTTAATTTGTACAGCAGTTTTTTTAGTTTAATTTGTATAGCACTGATAAGTCATAAATCAGTGGCAAACAGTTTGAAGATGGCCTCCAGATACTATACCTACAGTAGGTTCTTTAAATCCCCTGCACTGTGTGCTTGATCCATTGGATCATTGCATAACCTCCGAGTTTTTTTACAGCTTGTGACAATGCAAACAGCTATAAAGAGGAGGTTCTTTAGTAAAGATATTAATACTGCTATTACCCATTTTACATTTCACAAAAATGTGAATACAAGAAAACAACGCAAATAGCTTCCAATCACAATTTCCTATGAAAAATCAAGCATTAGGGTTTATATTAAAAAAATGGATTTCCTTGCAGATGAATCAGCAGGGCTTAGAGAAATACTGTGTCCCTTTTGGTTACCATTTAATTTTCAAAGTGAAAAAAGACTTGTTGTCTAAATGACTGTAAAATAATCAACAGTGCTTCAACAACAAAAAGAACGCAATAATGACTCGATGCAGACAGAAATTAACAAATAGCAATGTGTTTCAAGTACAAAGCTCTTCCTCCGGTACCATCATGGGTAGTCTATATCCTTGATGAATCCTACATTATCAACTAGTAGTTGTAATCAAATGGTGTCTTGTTTAGCTACAGTAGGAGAGTTAGTTTGCAAGCTAGTACAGTAATCTAGTTGTTAGACAGCTAGGTGGGGAGAGGAAGATTACCTCTCGGAGACTGAATGATGATACTTTTCTAGGTTTGTCTCTTTGTCTGTGGGGCCTGCTAGCATGAGAATGATTGCCCTTGACGCTGATTGGGTGCTGACTGATTAAATTTTCACATCCACTGGACCAAAGAGGGAACTGTGTGGACCAGGGAAACTATTTGATTTCCATGTAAGCACCTTTGGGCTCTTGGATTCACCTTCATGTTTAACATTTGTGTTGACAACTAAGGTCCTTTTTGGAATGGGGTGAGTGAAGGCTGCCACCTGGGAGGCACATGGGGTTGTGGAAAGGTGAGATTGGGGAAAAATGGGAATGCTGTTGTGTGTTGCACTGTATTATTGTGTTCCACGTTATCCAAATTATAAGTGAAAGATCTCAAAAAGGCCAGGTCATTTTAAAATGACAATCAATAGCAATACCTACTTTATGGTCCTCTCACATTAAACTCAGGGTTACCATAAAAGGTAAAAGTTACATATACAATTTTCATCTGCCTATTTTATATTATTCTAGATTTTAAAAAAATGGAACTCAGTAAAATAAAAAAGGCAAAAAAGACAGAATAATGTTTCTGTAACAATTTAGAATACATACTTATAGTAACAGATATCTGTTCCTGTGCGGACCCATCGTGGTCGACCACTTAGTGCCTCTTGGACTGAGTACATTAACACTTGCATTCCTACAGAGGGAAGAAGAGGAGGGAAATATTGAAAAGCTGAAATCCAGACTTTTACCAGGGTAATAAGACATTGGCTTTTAAATATTATTAAAACAGAAACCATGTATCATATATAAAAAATAAATCAGTGATACAGTACTTATCTTATACCTGAATAGAATACCTATTACAAGCAGAAGAATACCATTATTTTCTATTGATTATTCCCATCTTACCTATGATTCAAAATGTTCAGTTTACTTTTTCATTGTTGGAACATATAGTCCTGCTTTTTGTTGCTTAGAATCTACCTTTTTAGCATTTTGAGGATGGTATGGTGAGCAGTGAGGGCCACCCACCTGGGGGATGCTGGGATGTAAAAGTATAGTGAAATGTAAGGAGATCCCACCCCCACCACCCGAGAAAAACAAACTTTAAGTGTCAGGTTTTCCTTGTTCTTTTTTTATTATAACATGGAATCCTGCAATAATGCAATGGAGAAAATACTAATACTCTGTAAACAAAGTAACATGCAACATTTAAATCCCATACTGAGCATTTTTTTAATTATTCAAGTTTTTTAGTTATCTAAATCACAAGAGTGTGTTTGGCAAACACCATTGTTTCACATTAAGAAACAAGTGGAAATTAAGTTTAATTATTCTTACGGCTGTCATGGATACATTGTCACAGACTAAAAGCATGTCTATCACTTGTTTCATTTGCTGAACTGGATGTTAACATACAATATAATCCAAAATCCAAAAATATAATCTACTTTATAGATGTGGCACAATTTGTTTTTATTAAATTGAGTAACTAGAAGAATACCAATTTCCACCATCAGATTGAAAGGCCCCTAAGTAAAAGAAATCGTTTTACTAATCAGAACCAGTTAGTTTTGCATTGCTGGTTTTTGAAGAGTATGCACTAACCACATGCTTCGATAATGGGAATAAAAATTCCTTGAACTGCAGCAGCTGTGATAGCAATATGTGCCTACCATAGTTGAACTGGCTGTTGGACTTCTCGCAGTTGATGATGTTGAAACGGTAGGGAACACCGCTCCTCATTCCACTAACCTCAAAGTAAAACCACTGATGGTAATGGTTGCTGTTTATATCAGAGTTCAGAATAAGGTCATATTCAAACCTAAAAGACAAAAGCAGTTTTGTTGTAAGAACTGTATGGCAACGCTAAAGTAACAAGTAAAGGTTTATTCCATGCTGAAAAGAGAAGAAAGGAAACAACGTTTTGACTGCGGAGCCTTCTTCGGGTGTGTGACTTTCTTCTCTTTCCGGCATGGAATAAACCTTTACTTGTTCCTTTGCAGCAATGTTAAGGTATTCTTACTCTTCAAAAATCCTGTGTCATGTCACATTGCTAACTGTGACTGGGATATCTCAAGGGGTGGCAAACAACTGACCGAGTACTGTTAGAGTAGGTCTGAGATTAGTTAGTCAATGTTGTCTAGCAGACAAATAGGGCTGATTTGTCCACCACCAGTAAGCTTGCAGGCCTGTCATCGAGAGAAGTGTCCTCCTATCGGAACTGCCCTCCTGTCAGGCCTCTGCACTTTGGAACATATTAAGTGGCAAATGCTTCTACAGGGGAATATCGATAATACTTATTCTCTCCCAGTCAGGTTTCTTTGTTGCAGAATCAAGTCTTTAACCAAATGGGTAAGACATACTGTATCTGCTCTTTAAACACTCGTGATAACAGATACGCAATTGTGATATAGAAATTATCCTTGAAATACAATATCCCTTAGAAGTGTATTCTTAAAAGAAACATTGAGCATTTGAAATAAAGGTAAAACAAAGGCTAAATTAAATTATTACTACAGAGAGAAACAGAAGATTTATGTCAAGATTCCAAGTCACTGGATGAGATTACAGGCACAAGTAACTCCATATGTTTCTATTCTGTTCCAATAATTCAACACATTTGTAAAGTATGATAGAGCCTGACCTTGTGTTACGATCATACAATTTTCAATCTGATCACAAGATGACTCTTTGGGGAACAGACATAAAACATATGCATTTTTTGTCCAAATATTTTTTTTTCTCCAAGTTAGCAGAATGCAGTCATGTTTTAAATACTTTCAGTTCCTCTTTCAAAGGGTGTCATCTATGGTTTCGAACCCCTGCAATTAACTTTTTTAGCCCCCACAGGCAACCTGAATATTTACAAAATGATGTCAGATCTAACTTAAAAGAATCCATGATAAATGAAACAAATTATGGAGGGGTTTGCTCATCTCTCTTAGATGATATATTTTGACCTTATACACACCAAGAAAAAAAGTAAATTGCTACCAAATTATGAAGAATAACATTTGGCTTCTGAGCAGGGAAAACATAGCTGGTTTACATCCTTGCTGACCACTGTAATGAACATCTACAGCTGCATATGGTGAAGAGGAGTTTGCATCTTGCATATATAAGATATATATTATAATATATAAATGTACTGTACAAGTAATTTCTCATTTTAAGAAAGTAATATATTCCTTATTTGTCAAAGCGAAAAGTAATTGTACAAAAAAAAATTTCCCATTAATTTAAAGGTCATAATTGGAGACACACGGGAAAGAATGGTAAATACAGTACTGTAAGTGTATTTTTTATAATTAACAGTAATTAGACATAAACAGTACTAATTAAAACAAACATACAGAACAAAACAAAAGAAAGAAGAAAATGAAGTAAAAGTATGTGATATCAACAATGCTGAATATTATGTCTACAAAGTATTTACCTATTTTCATTACTTTGCACAATGTCTAATTTGAAAAGGATTTTGAAAAAATAATTTGAAAATAAAACGAATTAAACCAGCTAATGCTCATTGGGTGAATATTAATTTTAAAAAGGGTGTATTCATTTGTTTAATGTATTAGCTGGGAAATTTGTTAATTTAATATTTGGGAAATGAAGAATTAGTGTATATATGTAGTAAATATAGGGTTGCCCAAATCACAACCCACAGGCTAAATGTCATTAAATACAGCCCCCTACTAGTCTCTACATTGAACTGCATGTGTGCCCTGCAGTGATGTAGGCCAACGATTAACTGATGAACAGCCAACACAAATGCAAAACACAAGTTGCCCTTAGTTCTGTAAGCTCTGAGAAACACTAATTTAATTGATCCAACCATCTCTATAACAAAGTGTGCATTTTAATACTTGATTTTTGTGTTTCTGAAGAAAATTTCTCTACAACGAAGGTGCTTCCATCATAGTCTAACAGAAAACTCCACCCCTGTGGCATGACCTCAAACAACAGCTTCTCACCACACAGCTCCTCAACTGTAAATTTATTTGAATTTGAATTTTTACACTTTATTTATCTCACCTATTTAACTTGTTCAGCACTACACTAGAGTAAAATTGTATTGTAATTGTAATAGACAAGCTATAGTGTTCATACTTTTTTCAGTATCTTTTAGGGTAAAAATAAGAAATAAAATGTACAACAATCAACATATTGTTGAGATTGCTTTTCAAGGTAACAAAAATAATATAAAAGAATCTTACTTTCTAACTTGAATAGCTTTCCGTAAGTTTCCAGATTCAAACCGGGAGTTAAATTTCAAAGCTTCTCTGTCTTCAATCACTGGACAGCTGAAACAAAGCCAAACATTTTAAGAATAGTTATGATCTTTAATAAAATACGTTAGACATAACTGAAGTAAGCCGAACAGTTAAACTGTGAGAAACAAATCCAAATAAATAAAATGAAAGACTTGTAAAACCTAGGTTGTAAATTTACAACATTTTTACATGAGAGTAAGAGAGAAAAAAAAGGCTCCACAGCTGAAACATTGTGTTTTCTTTCTTCTGTTTTCAGCATGGAATAAACCTTTAACTTGTTCCTTTGCAGCCTACGCATGCTGACGCAGCTACCGACCTGAACTAACTTTTTTTTACACTGTACTCAAACCATACAGTGCGTGAATAAGATTGGCTGTTTGCCTGCAGCTGTGAAATTCTAACTAAAAAAACCCACTAACAACTAAATATATATACACATCCAGTACATTATTACTACTTAAATAATTTTATGCAAAGTTGTACACATATGCAGTGTACTGTGTATGCAAACATATATTTATATGTAGACAATTACACTGAGTTTGCCTACACTTTAAGAACAGTGATCAATGAAATCATTCATCATCCGCTTTCAATTGGGGCAAAAGGTTAAACCATTTACAATAAACTAACATCAACATATCACAGACTATTGAGTAGGTGCCAAAGCATAAACAAACTCTAATGCCATCCAGTAAATCACAGTTCAGGAAGTCTTATAATCTCACTTAGAAGATGTATTTTTACTCTGTTGTATTCTGATTAGTCAATCAAGGTGGCAGCCATGTGAATATCCACAGAACTGCTTAGATAAGCTGATACTAAGTGGCTTTTATGTAGAAAACATGAAATGCTACAGTTGTCTCTTGTCAAGAGAACACTCCACAGCACTGATAAAACTCAAACATCTCAATGCACTCTAATATATCTTATACAGCAACTGAATTAATTTAATAATTGTTCCATTAGAAACAACATTCAAATGAATGTGTAAACTAAGCTTTAGGTATAGATACTGTACGTCTGTCATCATTTCAAGTAAAAAACAAAATACATTTATATGACAAGAATCAGAGCTTAAATTTACATTAGTTAACTAATGTATACTATAGCTTCTGACATTTACTAATGAAGTTTTTGAAAATGAATTAAGCAAGATAAATGCTTTTAAATATTATGTTATGTTCAGAGTGATTTTGTTTGTTAGACATTTACTACTAAAGTTAGTCTTGAAACTTTTTTTTTCTTTGTTAATATACTGTACTGCATACTGTATCTACAGTCTAAGTGTGGAGGTTGCATATTCTTTATATTGTGTGAGGTGTTTTTTGTACCAGGACATACAAGTTTCTCTCACTTTCTAATGAAATGCCGGATATACAGTACACTAAATGTCTCTAGATTAGTTCACTTGAGAATGTTTGTGTGTGCCCAGCAATGGGCTGTGACTCCTTGGTTGTTTGGTGGTTACATCATGAAGTGTCTGATGTAATTTTGAAAAACAAAGTATACAGCTAGAGCAACTTACTTTGGCAAATCTAAATCATAGACAACTTGGTCAACAATATCATTAGAATGGATCAACCTTTCAATATCCTGGAATATTTTTGTCCTGAAAGAAAAATACAGACACGTAAAAAGAAAAGTTGGGCACAGTTATGCTAGGAGGGCAAAAACTATTACGGTATACTGTACATATATGTGATATCAATTTTAACAAAAAAAGTACAGTAATAGTATTATTCTACTATTACTAGCAGAACCACTACTAAACAGCAGTTAACAACTGGTTGCTCTTTGGTAGTGCTGATGGTACTTAGTTTAGGATTATTTAGTAATGATAATAAAGATCTTAATTTTATTTCTGGTGCATTGCCCTCTCTATAATAAATTCACCAAGAGGGGTAGTTTAATTAACAGTTTGCCCACAGCATAAGCCAGGCTTTATTCTTATACTTTATCTATGAAGTGTTTCTGAAATCAATTAATTACACTTACCTCTGAACACCGTAAGCTCTTTCTGAGATGTGCTCCTTAAATGTAGGAGCAATATGACCGAAATAATCGGGATAAGCCACCTCTGCATATCCAGGGACAGATTTGGTGTTTTTCACAGTCTCAATGTAGAGTTCAGGGTCATGTAAAGGAAGTAAGGCAGCTGTGTCTGGCACCTCTAAGACTCCCTGCTCCCCAGAAGAAAGGGAGCTACAGTCGTCGTCATGGTCAACTTCGCCCCTGAGGCTGCAGGAAAGAGATAAGTGGTCTTCTAAAGACCCACCATTTCTTGAGAACTCCTGGCAGGTTTTATTACAGGTTGTGGAGCTCAATTCCATTTTATATTTCTGTCCATTTACACATGGTGAATTACTGCACTTGTTTGAAGAAGTCTCCCCATCTAGGGACAAGCGCTCCATTTCCCTGACTAACTCATGCTTCAGGCACTGGGAAAGCAAGAGATTATTAGCACCAGAATTCTTTGCATCATCTTTTACGATTTCAATGTTTTCCAAATCCACAAGTCCTGGAGACATTTCAGGACCTCCTGCATGAGTAACAGTATTTACAAGCTGTTGTTTTTTTTGCTCTCCCTTGGTAAACTTGGTTTCCTTTTTGGTGGAGCTGAGGTCTGTGGAAGACTCTTCCCCCGCTGTGGGAACAACAATTGGGCCAGATGACTTTGGTTCCAGCACAGTTGGATTTGCAAAGCTGAATCCCTACAATACAGAAGGGCAGACAAAATTTTCACTTTCAGATCACAGCTCTTCAGAAAAATACAGCAGGTTAGGTGCTCTTTCTTCTACCTTAATATCAATTGCATGAGATGATTTTCAACAAAATACACACAGAACAACTTCTTTAAAATGCCAAAGAATTACTCGTGGACATCAAAATAAGGAATATACAGTTCCTGCACCCTTAGTGTCTTCTTCACACTGGAGTTTGAATGAATATCTTCTAATGAGGTGTTTACACATGAAACACATACAATTTCTCCTAAAATACAAAACACGTCAGGACACTGGTCATACTGTATTACACCTCAGCTCTACTCTTTCCACATGTGTCAAGTGGAAAACCTTCTTAATTTTCTTGTTCTATTCAGATATGTTACCTCAAAATTTTCCTTTAATACAAGCTTATTAATTTTTTCCCCACATAAAGGGGAAATTTTGATTTTTGAACTTTTTGAACTTTTCTAATTTTGATTATTTTTATTAGACCATTTCTTATTTCTATTTTGTCAATATTGATCATCAATAAATAGATCTTCTTGTACATGTGCAGTATAAGAGGGGGCTGCGTAGCACAGTGGGTAAGTCTCTGGACACATGACTGATGGATTGTGGATTCATGTCCCTGTAGTAGACACTTCTGTTACAGGTAAGCTCTGCATTGGACTGCATCTAGATAGGAGAGTCACATGTTCGCCATTCGCTTATACCATGCAAATAGGGAAACCATGGAAATCAGGATAAACTCTGGACTGTTGGGCCACTGTGGCCCTAATACACACCTACTTACATTTCTAAGCATAATTTCCCATCTGAAATGCATTTTTACTGGTTTGTTAACTTAATTAGATTTGTAATTATTGTTATGAATGCCTTATAATAGCAGGATACATTGCACAGGATACTAACAGAATGGTTTCGTTTATATTTTCACCAGTTAATTAGCAGGTATTTGGATGACACAATATCCTGTATGCATTCTAAAAACTCTGGCATATCACTCCAAGCAACACTAGGCCATCAACGCTAAGTTAGCTGCCAGCTGCTCATGGAATTTCCAGTCCTTTAATCATTAAAATCTCTTAAGGTCTTAAAGCCAGTTTTGGTTCTTGACCCTGGTTCTAAGCCAATGCACAACATGTCAAAGCAAAAAAAATATAGTACTGACATCTTGTGGAATTTACTGTATGATGCATTAAAACTTGTAATTTAGGTTTTAATCTTAACTCTAATTAGGATTAAATGTAAAAATACATACTATAAAATTAGATCATCGCTACACAACAGGTAAACAATTCAGTTGTAATATTAAGAGCAATACATACTTGAAAGTCTTCAGTGAGTTCTGGAAAAAAGCGCTCATACATTTTTAGCTCTTCAAGAGGTCGGCTAAGGTCCTGCTTTGGGCACAATTTATTGATATCAGTTTCAATATCATCATTCTAGGGAGAGAGAAAAGAACATATATGGTTTGTAAGGACCAAAACAAAAATTCTCAACTTGAGCAAATCAGGAAATTAACAGAAGATGAATCTGCAAATAGCCCACAAAAAGTTGAAAACTGAAAATATTAAAAATGCTGAAGATTCTTAGAATGGTAGTACCCAGCACGATTTTTTCTCTTAGTTAAGACCAATCAAATTCAAAACATAAATAATGCATCAAAAAGTGAATTGCTGCTTTTTCTGCAAGGGTAGCTTCTTCCAGCATTAATTAAAAATAAACTGTATAAACATGCATTGGTTTTGAAAATAGTAACATCGCATTTAAAGATTTAGAAAGGAATTTTGTTTTTTTCACTACCGAGCTTGTACATTCTCTATGTTACCTTTCTTTGTTGTGTCCTTTTTGTCATTTCATTTCTGGTAAAACTGATTCATGAAATACAACATTAGTTGTGAAAGTGGATGTAACGACCCAATTAAATACATCTAAAGGTTTACGCTATTTTGTTTTTCATTTTGATAGCTAATGCCTATCAGTAAAAGCTTTTCTGTATATAGGACATGCAGATGATCTGTGTACCATGTAATAAAGGTTAAAACAATAAAAGAAGCAGATGTTATTAGGAGTACTCAAACTGGATGATGTGCTTTGAAAATAGAAACAGTAAAGCTGTGACTCAGAATCAAACCAGTGATTGAAAAGGCAATAACAAAACATGGCAAATGAGAAGAGAGCGAGTGCATTTCATATTTCTTAAAATAACCTCACAGTACATACGTCACATGTCTGACAATAAATTTCCCATGAATAAATCAAAACTTTCAGATAAGCAACACTGCATGTATAAACTCATGGGCACTACCAGACGCAAGGAGAATCAATGGCATTCACCATGTAGTATGAACAGTGGAACTTTTGAAATACACAAAATAATACTAATAACAATTAGTATATAAATATAATAATGGAGGTTTGCTCTGTATAATATGAGACCTATTGGGCTTAATTTTTTTGTGAGTGTAATTAATAACTATTTCTGATTTGAACTCTTGCCTCTTGAACTCTTTCTGATTTGAATTTCATGGTTTAACAAGTAAACCCAAAATAACACCACTCTGCATGAGCTGACTGCATTGGTGCCTGAAAAAATATTTTACATGGAAATAACGGGCAGCACAGTGGTGTGCATTTCTGCCTCGCGGCGCTGGGGTCCCGGGTGGAGTTCCAGGGGTGCTGTCTGCGTTGAGTTTGCATGTTTTCCCCGTGTTCATGTGGGGTTTCACCCACAGTCCAAAGACAGGCTGGTATGTAAACTGGCTTCAGTACAATTGGCCCAGGTGTGAATGTGTGAGTGTTTGTGTCTGTCTGTGCCCTGTGGTGGATCCTGCCCAGGGTATATGCTGCTTTGCGCCCCAATGCTTCCTTGGTTTCTCCAGGCTACCGTGACCCTGCATTGTATAACTTCTTACTGAAAGTGATGTGTGACATGAAAGATAAACCATGAAAATGCAGATTATCGTTGACGTCCTGTGATTTGCAAATTATATGATTGATTTTCCTGTCTATTCACATGCTCACTGCACCTGCAAATTTTGGTCCTTTTCATCATCTTCGTTCTCAGTATCATTTTCATTGTCAGCTTCTGTTTCATCATTATCATCGCTTTCGTCCACTACATCATCCACTATCAATAGAACACACCAATGTTATCATCTGTATTCTCTGGTAAGGAAGTCGGTTCTGTTTAGTCACATGTATGGAAAATGCACGAGAGCAGCCTTTTTTGTCATTTACTGTTGGGTCAGAAAAGCAAGTGTTCTTTTGCAGTTTAAACATAAGTTTAATGAACTACATGATAGCTCACACCTGTAGTTTAAAAGAAATCAGATTAAAAAGACATTGCTAAGTATCAAACATAAAACATTTCTCAGCTAATTCTCTGTGTACTGACACTATATGCCTCACTCATACATACAAAACTCTTTGCTGATTGAAAACTGCAGGCCATTTTGCCAACGGCACTTCAAGAAACAGTCTATCGTCACTTTACAAAAAGAATTACAGACTTCTAGCAAACAGCTAGTCTGTGAAGAATAAAATAACTTAAAAGGAATCTAGGACTCAGTATACAGTATCTCATTTGCTGAATTAAACACCAGGTTTGACTGAACATGAGCTGCAACTAGTCAGAGAGGTGCCTGTGAAGGTTTTCTGTGTAGTAGAAAACAGAAACTGCATAGAAAACTGCTAAAAGTAAAGGAAGAAGGCATTCAAATGTTATATTTTAAGTCAAAAGAGAAATTCCGTTATTTAAGTCCTGACAATCACTTTTCCTACCCTCTGGAGGTAAACTGTAGAGCTGTGCCACAGGGCCACTGGCTGGAATCATGGGGAGATGGAAGTTGAACACACTCTTTATTGTTGGAACTGGAAGTCGGTTCTTGGGGAAACACTTTCTCATAATAAGGCTTGACGTGTTAGTCAGCGGGTCCAGTGTCCTCACTGGAAGGCACTCCTAATTAATAACAATAACATCATCAACAATACTAATAATCCAATAATGGCAGTGCGATGCATAAAAATCAAAATCACAATATATTCTCGGAGCCTCATAGATAAGTATAAAGTACTTCCAAAAGCCTTAACTAAACTTAACTTCAGTAATAATAACTAAACATTATTAAAGTTATTTTTTTTATTCTTTTCCTTTTGAACGTGACAGTAATCCACTATACTTTGTCCAAGCTTTTAGTCACATTACTTTTTGGTCTCATGAAAAATGATTTTTCCTTTGAGGTGTGAAGAAAGGATTGTCTTTTGGCAGGATTTCAGAAACAGTGGAAACTCCTTTTTGATCAAATAAAAACATGAAGGTAAAAGCAGTTCTTAAAGGCTGAATGGCTTCTATACTGTTTACAAAACGTGCAAAGGAAATGTGAATAATCCCAAAGGAGAGTAAAGGACAATAATTCATTTCATTAACATTCACTTAACTCATCAGTACACTGTTATCCTGCTTCTGAACTTTTTTTTTTGTTTGATGCCAAAAGTATTTTTTTTTCAAATCCAATCTCATAATTTGAGGATGAAACGTACTACGCACTTCAATAAGGCTGCTATTGTTTCTCTGAAAACACAACACTTACACTTAAAAAAACATTTTATGTCATTTTTGACTCTGAGAAAGGGTATGCACTAGAGTCCACATTGAGGATTTTCAGTAGAACACAAAAAGGACAAACTCAGAAATACAATAAAGGAACACAAGAGTGGACAAAGGACTTACTGTATTAATATCTGACAATATTTTTGCTCTTGAGTGTGACAGTCTTTCCAATGAATGACATTGTAATAGAATATCAATAAACTGTGAAGGATAATACTCAAATCACTGATGAAATTAATGTTGAGTGCTCTGTTTTGAATTTGAAGAACTGGAAGAATAGGGTAGGGATCATGCAAATAAGGACTTCCTAGTAATTAAATGAGATGCACTAAAAACAATGACACCTGAAACACATGTAATTATAGTAGAAAAATAACACCTTAAATGCATTGTCCCTGCTGCAATGAAAAAAAACAAAGCATTACAGGAAAACAAAGCTGCAAGCATGGTACCCAAAAACAACGTGTGCGATTCAATTAAAAGGAGTGAAAGAGGAAAGAGTGAATGGTAATTTTGTTTCCTCCTCCCTTTCATTCATTTAAATTTAAGAGGGAATAACATACTAGTAAATATCTAGTAGAATACCTCATATAATTAAAAGCATAAGGTGTTATTAAATTAAAATTAGGTGGGTAAAGTCAATATACTATGATTTGTCAAGAATGATGGTGTCCAAGAAATGATGTAATTCATTTGTAGAGATGAACAATGAAAATACTATTTAATACATGACCACATATTACTTTAACTTTAACTGAAACAAAAAAGGTTAATCTGACTCTAAATCCACTTTCTAATATCCCATTGAACCACATTGTTACAACTTTAGCTGACTAGGAAGCATCTCTTAGATTTTAGATAAGGTTTGTGACACTTGGCAGAGTAAACACTTCTAGCTTCATAGCAGAGAGGATGTTTGTTGAGTGGGGGGTGCCTTGATCAGAAACCATCGTAAAGTATATGTTGGAACATCTAGGTAAATTGTGGGTTAATGATTGTCAATGAACAGTACAGAGAGTACAAAATATAAAATCACATTAAGAGCACAGAGAGAAAACCAAAAAGGAAATGACAAGAAGCAGGGGAAATGTTGAGTTGGAACATGAAGCTTGCGCCAGACAAGAGCCCCTACTTTAAGATCATCCAAACAAAACCCGACCGGAGCTAAGCATTTGATCGCTGATAGAGAGAGCCTGCTACTCTGTGCATGTCATTCCTGCTGAGGGTGCATTTTTAGAATAGGGAGATAGGCTCCCATTTATTTTGTGGCATCTGGGTTGCAGAGAAAGAGACTTAACTGCAGGCTGTATTGTATTTATTTAGAAAGGCAGCTTATCTCTTATTTTGCCTCTGTAGGCATTAAGAGTTTAATACTTAGAAGTTTGGGGGGAGGGGGGGGTTGGGGGGTAATTAGGATGTTAGGCCACTGAAATGTCTAGTTTGCAGATAGTGTAAACACAGTAACTTGTGTGTAGTCTGTGCCTTGTCATTTTAATAAATATTTGTTTAACCAAGTGCACCTGGATTATTACTCTTTTCACCAAAGCTGTGCCAGAGAACAAAGAATTCATGTGCCTCTAATTACAACAGCCACTATATTCTGGAGAAATCACTTACAAGTTTGGGGTTATGAAAAATTATTTCACTTATCGATTGAACCACTAGGGTCAAATCCCAATTTTCACCATTTTCATAACCCCCATTTGTAACAATATTTTACTTTCCAAGGTCTTCTGTGTTTTTTGGAATAGATCACAGATTTTAAAATGTATATAGAAAATTCAGAATTGGTATTTTACAAAAAAACATCTAAGATGCAATAAATGTTTTTTAATGAACATACTGACAGGATCACCTAAAATAGCACAGCATGAGCTATGAAGCAGAAGATGAGATGCCATTATATCTATACAATCTTTAACACAATGCCATATATAACATATAATGTAATATTTAAATACATATGAAGTATATAAGAATATGGTACTATATGTCATTAAGAATGCATTTTTATTTTTGGTTCAGAATAAACTCACAAAAGACAGTTATTAGTAGTGGGTATTTTTAATTAACTCCAACAAAATGGCTTTTGGAGACTGGAGTATTTAATTTCACAAATGATTTTTTTTTCACAAAATAACCACCATGCATGAATCACTGATGGTCAGTGTGTGCACTCCAGAGGCATTTCCCTTGCTAACTGCAAGTTTTGATTGCAGTGTCTGCTCATATTGTATGGATTTCTGCCTACAAAGTTTTTTGGTCGACATATGGTTCATCTTGCTGCTAAAGGATATTTGGTGAACACTCTGTTGATGGACAGAAAGCATGATTATCACCCAATTTCTATGCTTCTATAGCATGCAGCTCACCTTTGTGCTGACAGAACGTTTTATCAAACATCAGATGTCAATATGCTAAAGAGTTGGTGTCCTAATTTACAGCAACTAATTTTGTGCAACAGTGCTTAATGAATAAGGACTAAAGTGAATTTACACCATAATAACTTACTAATAATTCAGTATTCACCAATAATTTGATACCAGACATAGCTAAAATTTTCCTGTTGGAGATAATGGACCTGGAAAGGACCACTTTTCTAAAAAAGTTTCCTTATTTGTTATCTTACATGCAGTGCAAAATTACAAGACTTTTTTAGTTCATACAGGGGCATAAAAAAAGTACCCGACAGCATACAACTATAGCATTGAATGGTGTTTGTGAACTACAGTGTGCAGAACACCCCCATTCCAATACTTTAAGTGTAACAATATAAACTGTTACATAATTTACTGATTTAAATGTTTTCTGGCAGCCTGACCCTAATGCAACACCAGGCACGTTCCCAGCTTCACATTTACATAGTTCACAGCGGGGAGTAAAGGATAGCAAAGGAATTACCCTTTAGATAACAATCAGGATGACATACAGTACCTGCAGCCAGTACCTTGGTGTAACAATAATTGTAATAACAAAGTCCTTAGTCACATACATTTGCCTTAATGTCACAAATACATTACTTAAGGCTATCCAAAAAAGAAATGATTGACCCCAATATTCAAATACGTAGTAAACTCACTGTAGACGTGCTGTACAAAATCCTCATGCCATCTGCATCAATGAATGCCTTCCTACCCAGCTTGATGTTCGTAATGTTTTTGATGGAGCCCAAAATGCCCTTCCGGATGAGCATGTGCCTGTGTCGGGTGTCATGTCTGTGCCAGTCCTGGTAAATTGCCAGCAGCGAAGGGACATACCCCTTGTCTACTGCCCTTCGTGCATTCGTTTCTGGAACACAAGACACACACACACAAAGCACAATTCTCCGTAAAAGTAATAAGATTATCAATACAAGTAATTCTCAGACAAATCAAAGATTTCACTCCAACAATGCAAGTTGCAGTGACTTATGCTAAAAATAAGCTTGCTTATATTAATCAATTTACTATCAATGGGACACGAGCGTCTATTTCTTTTTTATATTGTGAAATGATGTAAGCAGAAAATACAAATGAGCTAGCGTCCATATTATCTCTAAAATATTTCTAGAATAACTGATTAAGTCAAATGCGTAGTGTGATGAGCAAGCAGATTGTCTCTCTTAAAAATCACACGAGAAAGGCAAGAACTATTGCCTGAAAGAATTAAAAAAATAGAATTTGTGTCTTTTTTTTTGTATTCGGCAGACAATCTACTGCTAATGTTTATAACATTAACTCACAGTTTCTGTTGTTGCCAAACACAAAACCTAGGCTTTTTAGTCATGTTGTGCAATCTTTAAAGCATGAGAAATTACTATGCATTCGTGCTCCAGTTTTTGTTGTGTCTGTGCTTTTCTTGCACATTGAGCAGGGCAAATTTTCTGTGTAATGCTCAAGATTTTGCTGAACATATGTAAACATAGCCAACCTTGCAGATTATTGAGGGGCACATCTTTTCATTGACAAAACGCTGAAGAAAATGAAACCTAAGATACTCACTTGACTTCAACAAAGCTGCTAAAGTATCCAGGGTAACTCTGTTAAAACAAACATTGGCATTTAAAAAGTTAAAAGCTTTTTTACATAGAAAATAAACGTTAATACATTTCACTGGATGCATAAAGAGATTTGTTCACTGAGACAGCGTGAAACTCTTTTCACTTTTTAATTATCATACACTGTAGCATGGGAATCTAATACGTACTTCAAAAGGCTTGTATTCTTTTTGCTGAAGGGACCAATTATTTTAAACATCAGCTCCACAACGCCATTCTTGCCCAATGATACTGCATTCACAGCTGAATTAAAAAAGAAAACAATACTGTTTTGACCGAACTCTGTAATATTGTGAAAAAATAGTAATCATTTAATATCTAGACACTGACATACAGTACTTACAAATTTGACATACAGTACTTACAGTTGCTTGAATATACTCTCAAAACCTGCAGGCATGGCAAAATGAGCTTGTAGTTCTGCAAATTGTGCTTCAGAAGGTTTAATGTTATATTTAGTGCTCCGTTTATTCTGGCCTTGATGCCAAATTTTTTATCTGTTTAAAAGACAAGAGACAGAATGCAGTAACAAACAAAAACAATGTTGAGTTAGATAATTATTATATCATAATCCCTTCATATTGCTAGAGTCTCAGGTCAAAAAACTAATTCAGAAAAAAAAATTAAAAGCTACCTTATGTTTATTTTAAGGACAAATGACATACCCATGCATGGGACTTAATATTCTTAACCCACAAGAAACCAAAAAAGCAAGATGTGCTGAACAGCATACTCTTGTACAGAATATCAGCCCATTAAATACAGCTGATCAGGAGAAGCTTTTGTAGCTGACTGCAATGTTACAAGATATCCACTAGAGTTCACTGTAACACTTCATTTGGATGAACACTTTAACCCTCAAGAAAACTAAACGGGATCTTCTTTCAAACAGTACAAGATCTTCTGAAGATAAAACATTAGGGTTGGAGTTGCTAGGAATGGGATTCTTCATCCTTTTAATATTTCAAATTCCCCAACCAAAAAGGAAATGTACATTTTAATAGTAATTCAATTGCTTGCGATTGAAGAAGGTAAGGTAAGAACTTAATATTGCAACTCAGCTGCAACATTTACCATAGTGGTAACGGTGAACTGAAAATATCTGATTTCAATATAAATGTCAACTGTGCATAATGAAACTTACACTGAAACCTGAAGATCACGCATTAATCAAGGAACATATAAGTACTACAGTATGTTATTAAGCCTGAAGTCCAACTAAACCCATCCAGATAGAGAGCTACTGCTGCTGCTGTTTCAGCCCTGTCATTTCGTAACCATTTTGAGCTTTCATCAGTATTTTCAGTTCTATGTCTGTGACCGGTAACACTGCTGTACTTAAGTTCACACTTGGTCCACACTCACTCATTCAGTGCAATTACTGTGTCATACAGTATCTTTATTTCCAGGGCTTCTGCACATGATCTACGAATGCTTTTCCAAAGCTAATTTTCCATTACCTTTTAGTCCCACTTTGGCCAGGATGGAGTGCAGCTGCGCCATGAGCTCCTCGCTGGGGGGGGACTCTTTGCTGGCACTGAGCAGCAGCTGCAGGAGGACGTTGGTTCCTCCCTTCGACACCAGTACTCCAACTCTCCTGCCACTACCTGTCAAAGACACATCTGCCATCACACCACCAGTAGGTCTGAAAGCTTTCCCAGAAATTGCCCGCAGATAAAGAAATCACACAAGCAAACAAAGCAAGGCAGGTCGAGGGACAAGCATATCACTCAAACTGAGAATGCAAGCTCTAGCAATCTGTGGGTTACATCTGCGAGGTACTATTTCCTTTTTTTGTGGACAGTTTTAAAAATAAAGAAAAACGTACAGTTCGGGACAGGTAGTTGTACATCATAGCCATGTAGGAGCATCTATTTTGTTTTAGTTCACATTTTTGAATGCCAAGCAATACTTTTGGAATAAGAAACATTGGGTCAAACTGAGCAGATGCAATCACATCTGCAGTACACCAAGTTAACTAAATAGCCTTCAAGTGAGACATGCCTCTGATTCTGGTACAAAGTGCAATTCAAATATAAAGACTTGCATATTTTAATTAGACTGAAATACATTTAAAAGGGAATATTAGAGGCCTGGCATTGATACCATGCAAAATAATTAAAATATTGCATATTACACAAACACTATCAATCTACAATGTGTAACTTGGATTATATACCCACTTTTTCCAGTGTTTCAGTAATTATTTCAAACACTGCACTGTACTGCACAGTGTTTTGCATACAAAGATTCTTTTGATTTTTATTTTGCAAATGTCTATATACACAAGGTTAGAAAGCTCAGTAAGTGATCAAATAACCATCTGATTTGTGTAAAAGCTGGTTTGCATTGTATGTACGGTACTTACCCAATGAGACCAATTCATTTAGAATGCAGAGAACATTCAGTACAGTCTGATGGTCCCGTGTACTCTATTAAAGACAAAAATCATGCCTGTGTTTTAGATCTCCCCCAAACACCAAGAAGCATACTATGCTGTCAAATTAAACTGGCAATGTATAGAAACCACATTTCAGTACCTACTGTACTGTACATGATGTGATTAATACGTCATAAAAATAATGTATGTCGTTTTGCAAAGTACCAAAAGCCAGTGGTGGGTGGGCACCAGGAGGTGTGGCATGCCATGACACCACACCACACTACAGGCCATTGCATGTTCTTCCTTACTGGGTTAGAAGTTTTAAAGCAAACAAATTGCAAATGTGCATACTTTATCTTAATCTAGCCAACCATGCATTAACCATGACTGGAAAATCAACTGCTGGCTGTGAAAACTTTTTTATAGGTACTGTACATTATATGTCAATACAAGTGTCTGAGCTGTGTATGTTGGGAACATACCTTATGCTAATTACACCATCCTTTATGGACATCAATACCCCTTTATCAATTATTTTATTTAGGAACATATCCTGAACTTATAATGGTGACTTTCGATATATACTGAAGAGTGCTGACTGCTTAGCACTGTGTAACATTCTAACATTTAATTAACACCATGCTTACTTTTTCTGTGGTTTTATTGTTGTTTAATGCTACTGTTTAAATTGCCGTTTGCATTTTAAGCAGATTAAATTGTAAGTCTCTTTGGTCAAAAGCGTGTGCCTATTGAATACATGTAAAATGTACTGAATAAATATAAATGAGAAAATATTTTGAAGGTTGAATGATTAAAGTGAGTAGAATCGAAAAATGTTCAGGATCTCATAAAAAGAGACATTTTATCCATTACATTGAGTATTTCCATTAAAGAAATTATAATAATTTTAAACATTTAAAACAAAAAGTAAAGTCAGTTTATTTAATGTTATCCTGAGTCCTGTTCAGATCAATTTTTCAGGATTTTTCAGTGAAACGTGCACATTAGACACCACTTGCATCATGTATCAATATAGACTTTACACAAAATGAACATAATGTTGTTACACAAATTATAACATTATTGAAATATATTTCAATATATTAATAATAATAATAATAATAATAATAATAATGAACATGTTACATATATGAACAAATGTTATATATAAATATTATGTAATTTAAATATATTAGTAAAAAATTTACTTCATTCTAAGACATCTCAATGTAAACACAAGATGATACAACTTACTATAAATAAGAATCTGAGTGTATTTTATTCACCACACTAACACAAATGCGGCTGCCTTGCTCAGTCTTTACACACAGGACTGGGGGTGCTGTCTTCTTGTGTTCTGATTCACTTACGTTCTACACTAAGAGTATGTTTGTTCTATTTGTTTTCTCCTCATGGGGGAAAAAAAACAAAAACGTCATATTGCAGACAAAGAGACATAACTGGATGATGGTGCAACCACCATACTCAGATTCTTTTCTTATACTGTGACAACTTTCAGAATATCAGTAAATTAAAAGCTACTGCATGTGAATGGAAAGAATATCATAAAAGATCAATAACAGCTATACCATTCAATATCTCGATATTTCACTCTAACAGAAGTGTTTTAGTCATATGGAAGTCTTTGTTTTAAGTTGGCAAGCCTTTGTTTTCTCTACAGCTTTGCAAAGCTATGGGCCAGTTCAGCACTGCTTTTTCACAGAATGTTGATCCCTAAACTGTTATCCCTAAACTTGCATCTCAACACATAAAACGGGGTCAAAAACTAAGCCCTAGCCTCTGTGGAAACATATGTAAAATGTTTTAGATGATAAAACAATTAATGATGAAACTACTCCAACACTAATGAACTTGAACTTGAACTTGAACTTTATTGTCATATGTAACCGGTACTGGTACAATGGAATTCTTACTTACAGAAAGTCTCTCGATTGTAAAACAAGTGTAAAGACAAAGAGCAAACAGTGCATCAAGACAATGTACAAACAAACAATAGACAATGTGCAAGCAAACATGTAGACAGTTTGAATGTAAACAATACAGACGTGTAAACAATGACTGGGGATGTGCAATAGATAAGAAATCATAAAGAGGTAGATGGTGAT